TCGAAAGTCTTTCTGAGTTTCAATTTGCATTCAAGGCATTCCCTAATATTTATAATTGTGTTTCATAGAGTTACACATATGACACAATTTTCTCAAGGCATCGAAGGATAACAAAGCCACCATTTTTTTTTGTATTTATATTTCAATTGATAACATAAAATTTTGACAGAGGTTCAAATACATACTTTATTACATACATACTATTTGATCTCCTGAAGACCACAACTTGGTTGCTAAAACACATGTCGAGAAAAGGGTTGCAGTTCGTGCGTTTGGGAGCAGTGCTTGTACAATGAGAGAATTTTGAGAAAAAGTGTCAAAAGTGTCAAGTCTTCTTATATATACTGAGGGTGGATGCGGATTCATCTAAAAATATAACTTTATTTCGGGTATTTAGGGTAACACTTCACGTTTTGCTTCATTCAAGCACAGAGAAAACAGGATAATCAATCTTATATATTTATACCAAACCATTCAATTGAAGGATATATCCAGAGAATGGTTAGTGTGAATTAAGTTGTATGGAATACCCCTGGAAACCGTAGAGATATAAAACAGTATGCAGTGACAGTAAATATTACCTAATAATGATTTATAAAGAGAGCATATATGAAATAAATCTCCTCATTCAGTTCCTTGGTGGCTGTGGTAGTGGAAGACGTGCCGATAACGTCCGCCCACAAAGAAGATAGGTACGTGAATGCCATATGCTATCGCTGGGCTTCTTTTTTGTGTATGGATTTTCCGTCAATGAAAATATCCTTTACAGTGCATTTTATTTTTTAACCGGGTCAACTCAAGAAATTGAAATTTGGTATAATGAAATTAATGCATGATTACTTTATTTTGAAGTGAAATTGACAGATAAAACTTTCAAGATGGCGACTGGGCGCCATCTGGGAAAACAAGATAAATAGAAAGGGGGGTCNAGATATTGACTTCATATTCTAAGGTTGTGAAGTATTCGTCAGGAGCTTCAAAAGTATGTGTCACAAGACCCCACTTTCAATTTTTTTTTCCAGATGGCGCCCAGTCGCCATCTTGTAATACATTATAATGTTTCAATACTTCTGAATTTATATTTTATTAAATTACTCATCCCTAGAAGTTCAAATTTGTAAGATTTTTATTGATTCATTCATGAAAATGAATATAGAAATAGTTTTTGTATTCATCCTTGAATGATGTTATTATTGTAAGGATTATATGAATTTCAAAATTTTTATACATTTAATTGGTCTGTAATACCTTGTTTGGATAATAATAAATAAGTATATCAGTACCCTTTATTTCTTATTGACTAATTTTCTAACATATGAAATCGATAATTCTTATTTGGCAGATCAGTTTTTTTTCATTGTTGCCATGCAGCCTAGAATTCGTTCAACTAGAATTTTTCGTTGGTGTTTGCGGAATTTACGACGGCGTATGAGGGCCACAATTTTTTTAATCAATGGATTCTGAGTAAAGTAGAAATTTAATAAAAATTTCGATCTCAAACTCGGAATCTTTTAGAATTCTCATATGTATTCCCTAGTTTATTTTAAATTTGTTCATTCTTCTGCCATCTATAGGTCACTAGGTAAATTTCTGTAAATTGACGAAATATGAATCTATACCTACGAGACTGATTGAATTCGTGGGAGCCATCGTCGCAAGGTGGCGGTGCATACATATCAAGCAATACAAAAAATTGTCAAAGTGACATTTTGCATTGATATTTCTGCCACATATTGAATTTGTTGATTGGACAAAAAGTATCACAAAATCAATCTAGAAAAACTGTGGTTGGCAGAAATGATCTGTTATATGAAACATAATGCTAGATCTAAAGTGGAAAGTGCAGCAGTTCACAAAGTTAATGTTCTTACGTTAATTTTTCTTCATTATTATATTAGATACAAATTTGAAACAATCGTTAAATTTCTGGGGTCAATGACGGCTGTGAATATATTAATTTGGCTTATGCTCATTTCCGTTTTGACCTAAGCTCTCAGTTATCAGCAACTTTCCAAACAGCGAACAGTGCCTAGAAGTCTTTGAATTTCTAATATTGACTTTTTATACCTAATAGTTACAATATTTCCGATAGATGTCGAATCATGATAAATTCATCTTCTTCATGTTTAGGTTGAACCCTCAAAAAAATTATTGCATATTTACTTATGATTTTGAAAATCTGTATAGAAGCGAAAAAAAAAATTCTGAGAGAAAGATATGTTTGAATGTTTTCTGAGCGTTCCATGTCAGTACAGCCCGAAAACTTCCGATTCGAAGCGAACCGAAACTACAAACATCGTCTAGGTAGAATTATTGAAAGTATAATACCTTCGATAATCATCCCTGAAATTTTTTTTGAAGTTCACCATGGCTAACTGAATCCAATTGACCATATTGAATTAGAGTAAGTGGTGGTAGGCTTTTATATTTCATTTTTGGCACCACTGAATTTATATACATTCTTTCAACTCCATAACAGAAATCAAAAGTGAAAACTATCGAGGAGAGATACATACGTATAAGGAAATGAATATTTTCAAATAAATTTCAAAATATTAATCTCTCCCAATTACTTACCTACACAGTAGGGTGTGGTAAATGTCTGCCGAGAAACAACTATTTCCCCTGCTAAAACCACGCTGGATATTGAATTATATTCAACACACATTTATGCAAGATTCCTCACAGAGGCTAGTCTCGCAGATGTTTCTCGTTCATCCAGTAGCAGGACCATGCTGAAATTATTCAAGTAGATCACCTGAAGACCGCCGTTTCAAGGTATAACCTCCCGTCAGTACAGGAAAGATCTCACCCAGACAGCAAATTGACTGGAACTCGATTAATTTCAACACAGCACTTGCTGCATATATGAAACCTTCGTATGAGATGATGATTGTTATCTAGTAACAACTCCATCTGGTGAACAAAGCCCCAAGCTGGGAAGAAACATCCCATTAGTCAACACTCAAAAGTGAAAACTATGGAGGAGAGATACAATTTAGATGAAATTTTAGCTGAAAATTTACTATTTTTGAGTAGCATTAAGTGGTAGTCAGGTTTAAGGTTTCAATTAAAAGCCCTAATCAATGAAATGCTTCAAATATGTCAAATATTTTTATCATTTTCAATGATATTGTTGGTTATGATGGGAATCATTGTCAACAATGAACTATAAAATTCATCCACCACTCAATCTTTAGCGAATATGGTCATTTGACAAAAAATTCAGATGCTTCTAGAATGTTTAAATATCAATGACTTCTTTTACATCAGTTGTAATAATAATCTGGATGTTTATGTAGTGTAGTCACCATGCCCTCCTATTTCTTCGAATTGAGTGTTCATAGATAGAAGCTTCCCCACGTATATCTATCTATCTATCTATGTGACTTATGTAGAAGCTAGAATCTTCATACTATCCACCCTTGCTCATTTCTGAGCGATCTTCAACCAGCTGAGTGATTGTCTATTTTCTCCCACGTATCCAGTTTCCATGTTTTGAATTATTAGTTTTTCAAGCAAATCAACTTTTCGAACCTCTAAGGAATTTTCAAGTAATGAAATTGTTAAAACGTTTTTGGTGGGTATTTGTAGGACTCAACAAATCTGGTTTAATAATAATTTCATAAATATCAATGACTTCTTTTACATCAGTTGTAATAATAATCTAACTATCAATGTCACCAACATAACAAAATGAACTGCCTGTATAACACAGTAGCTGGTTTTTATCAGTGACACAATGCTTTTATTGTCAAAACTAATCATTTTCTTATTGATTTATTTACCATAACTGCTAACAAATTCTTCATATTCTGAACCACATCAAAGTATAATGACAAACACTGCTAAAAACTTCAAAAATTCACAAATTCAAGCTTTATTTTCATTTACATAATAATCTTACTTCAGTCTGCACTATTAGTGGCCATTCAAACACCTAACAGGAATTCATCTACTCTGGTTTTGATGTAACTGATGGAATTCATCAATGTACACAGATGACAAAAGAAACAATCAGATTGAATTCCGATTACATTGGGCAGTTAACTGGTGATACAAGGAACACATAAAATGAGAAACCTGGAGAAAATATCATTTTTGATTACAAGAATGCTTTCTTTCTGGAATGATATCACTTCACAGTTTGTGCTAGTGTCACAATATATTCTGAGAACCAAATTAATGAAAATACAGTTTATCCGGGAATCCTATGTCTCTTTTTTAAAAATTAATGAAAAAATGTCTATATTGTTTACAATCTTACATGTTTATGTAGTGTAGTCATCTCATCTTCATCCCAGGCACCACCATGCCCTCCTATTTCTTCGAATTGAGTGTTCATAGATAGAAGCTTCCCCACGTATATCTATCTATCTATCTATCTATGTGACTTATGTAGAAGCTAGAATCTCCATACTATCCACCCTTGCTCATTTCTGAGCGATCCTCAACCAGCTGCGTGATTGTCTATTTTCTCCCACGTATCCAGTTTCCATGTTTTGAATTATTAGTTTTTCAAGCAAATCAACTTCTCGAACCTCTAAGGAATTTTCAAGTAATGAAATTGTTAAAACGTTTTTGGTGGGTATTTGTAGGACTCAACAAATCTGGTTTAATAATAATTTCAACGTCGAATTGACTCATTACCTGTATTCTTTCAATTTGTCTCCTAATGAGCTATTTCCCTATTTCAAACAAAAAAATGTAACTGTAAGATCTTGTTGAAGAAATGGTTTGAAGACATGAAAGATGTATCAATCTCAAAAATGAATTTCCCTTCCTTTTTGTAAAAACTCGAAACATGATCCTTGTGATATCAATGAGGCTGTAGTGTATGTCTGACGGCTCCTAAGTACTAGGAAAAAATACCAATGATTACACTCGATCATATTGTTTCATTTATTTTTTCATTTGCAACAAATTCCCGCAATATGAAAAACTTGACTGAAATGTATATGAAAAATCAGAATTTTTACACCAAATTGTATTTGTTGTAGTATTTGATGACATCGGTCATGGAGTTAGAGGCGGAGGTACTCCGAGACAAAAACAAAGAGGGTCAAGTCAGGGCAGCATTCATTCCTTAAATTCCCTTTCTGCAAATTCCATGGCTGGGGTGGGACCAGCTCCAACAACTAAACCACCAACGCCACCTCAAGTATCCAGAACTTCAAGCAAAGGTAAGATATATTATTATATCATTGACTTGTAAATCATGATGTTCCTCAAGATGCTGATCTTGGGCTCCGCCTTTGAACTGTTTGTTGATTTTTTTTTCATTCTCAAACTAATATTTTGTTGGTTTAGTTTGGTCTTTTTCTAATCTGACATGGACTATACAATTTTTGAAAATTATATTTTTCAGCATCAGTGTCAGGAGGGACTTTGAGCAAAAACAGTAGAGAGTATCGTACACCACCGGCAGTGGCACCACCACAGGTATATAATGTTTTTTTTTATTCCATCCCCATATTCTCCTGAAGTTCTTTCTTATTTATTTCCCAATTGTTATTAATAGGTTCCGAGTCATTATGCCCCCAATTATCCCATTGGACACCCTAGACGTGAGAGAGGTCCAGGCTATGGCACTTTGCCTTTGCCAAATCTTCATCAGACCTCTCCGCAAGTAGGCATGGTGCACCCAATGTCGCAACAGCAGCAACAGGTGGTTCAGCCCCAAACGCCACCTCCTCCACCACCTCCAAATTCAGCGGGATATGTGCAAGAACTTCACATGAGCATGCCACGTAAGTATTCCCTATCATAAATATTATAACTGCTATTGAAAATGAATGGCATTTATGTATGCCAGGCTTGTTATGCAAACATTTTATTGGAATTGGGTAGAAATCCATTGAAAGTGTTGGAATATACAACTTGTCAACTGTAGGAAGAATTTCTGGATTTTTATATGGTGCTACCAAGAAGATGCATCAGAAGATACATCGGTAGTAAAGTGTACAATAAACATCTGTGTAACAAAAATGGAATTTACTTCTAAACTGAAACAAAAAGTTTCAACAAAACAAACAAGATAGGTGATTGCAAATGTTATTCAATTTATGAAACGGGAAGCGAATGTTGGTCGTTCTTCAGACTTAAAAAGGGCATAAGAGCATAGTCAAAAAGCAATGGGTGCGAGTCTCAATACCAATGAATACATAGTGAAATAAATCGAAGATGGTGAGTCGTCCTCATTTTCCACTCCAAATAAAAAAACAACAAAGCTTAGGGACAAAGTCTGGAAGAGAAAGTGCATTTGTGCAAAACTGTTATTTGAAATTCAAATCGAATACTTAATTAGGTATATAATGGAACTGACCAATACTTGATGAAAGTAACGCTTTATTGTGAGATTTTCTCTGAATGATTCACAAAACTGTAACACATGTTTTGCTATACAATAACTTCCCCAGGTCTGAGTCTTGAATACTAAATTAGGTGAAATTAGTGGTTAAGACGAAGCAATATACAATTCATAGAGGATATTCTCATGATTCCGATTTAAACAATATTGAATAATTAGTATGGGTATCACTAATGCAGTATGTAGGTGATAAAACCGTGTGTTGAATTCTTTGTCGTTTTCAGTTAACATGCTAAACACTTTGAAGAGTTTTATTCCTCCCAGAAACCTGCTCTTGATTGACAGTATAATTACAAATTTACTAGGTGATAGTGACGATGACGGCTACAGTGATGACATCAGTAGCAATTCTGATCTCACAGGAATCCAACCTTCAAAATGATATATATTAAAATTGAATTTCGGTTCCTTCTTTTATAAAATTTCATTGTGTTATTTTCCAGTCAAAACGAAAATTTTATAGCCAGTCTTTCAATGTCTACTAACCTGTAATAAAATTATCAATTATGATGATATCAATAATTTGATCCACTCAATCTGTAATCATTAGACAATATGTATTCAAGTCTTCGTTCATAGCAAGTATAATACCGCAGGTAGTTGGATATTGAGTATTTCTGAAAGAATATATTTCAGGGATCACTCAGGTTGTGAGGATTCTCCAGTCTTTCTAGAATTGACAGGCTGTACTGGTTTTATATAAATACAGTACATATAATAAAAGTGTAACTGATTACTGTGAGTGATATTTAGATTTTTGTCTGTCAGATCATTTGTGCGTTCTAATCTCTGAAATTATCACCAATTTATTGTAGGTAAGCTTCACTTGATTTAGTATTTAATTTATTTCAATTGGTTCATAAGAAAAAGAGCTATGTCAGTTTACAGAATCACGACAAACATTTGTTGGAATCAAAATACCTTGAAAATACTGTTCAGGGTGGATCAGAATCGGACCTCTTGTGTTGACAAATTCCGGATGCTGCTGACGCAATTTTCGGTACATTTCGTCAGTTTCCTCACATTAGGACTCTGCTGTGATGGTTTGGTTACAGTGAATCACACCAGCCGCTGCTAACCATACAGCAACCATGATTTTTTTTTTGTTGGTTTTCGCCTTTGGGAAGTGTATGGGTGGCTCATCATAGTCCAACCACTCTTCTGAATGTCTCCTGTTGTCGTAGAGGATCCTCTTTTCATCTCACGTGACGATCTGATAAAAAAGTCGTTTTACTTGCACAAAAGCAAAGAAGAACAGTCCTCGAAACGTGAAAATTTCTGTTGATTGTTCAAATCATGAGGCATCCATTTTTTCGAGCTGTATGACCTCTCCAATACAGTTTGAAGCATTGATAACCGCATAGGAGCTGACACCCAGTTCTTCCACCATCCCATGCACCGTTTGTGATGGGTCAGTCTCCACCAGTCTCAAATCCTCGTCCTGGATTACTATAGGTCGACCACCTTAAGACTCATGTTCGAGGCTAAAATGTCTGGGACGGAATTTCTCAAATCCACGTCAAATGGTGCTTTCATCATTACTATTACTGTCAAATGGCTTGTTGATTTTTCGGGCTGTTTCGGCAGCGTTTTGGTTCAACTTGAATATGTAGAGAAAAATTGNGGACGGAATTTCTCAAATCCACGTCAAATGGTGCTTTCATCATTACTATTACTGTCAAATGGCTTGTTGATTTTTCGGGCTGTTTCGGCAGCGTTTTGGTTCAACTTGAATATGTAGAGAAAAATTGGCTGAAAATTGCTTAGCGACATCATGTAGAATAGCATCAATGTAGAGTACAAAATTCTCTATCGATTAAGGTACTTTCCTTGGACTATTCTAAGAATTTTCTGTTTTCTGATTATTTTTGATAGGGCGCTTTGTTTCGAAGATTCGGAGCGAAAAATAATTTCTACAATAACAATTTATTACCAAAAATTACATGTAATGTTTCTTAATCTACAAGAACTGTTGAAAATGACTACCTCTCGCTCGGATGCAAGAATCCAATCTTCTCCTTATTGACTCCCGAACTCAAGTCCGGTGATCGAGCAGGCCATAAGTGAGGGCCACCTCGACCAATCCAGTGATCTCTGTACCTTCTTCCATCATGGCCAGCACATTCTCTTCCACTTCAACCATTTTTACTGTCATTGGCCTTCCTGGAGCCCTATTTCACTTTAATGCTCCTGTTTCCCGAAGTCGATGATGTATACTTTGGAAATTTTTTTCTATAAGGCACATTACAATTAAGAAATCTTTCACTGTACAACCGCCAAGCTTCCATCGGCAAGTCCATAAATGAAATGCATGTCAGCCATCTCTGTGTTACTATAACCATTCGTGATAGAAGACTCCACTAACAAGAATTTAAATATTGAACACATAAAATGCACGTCAAATAGACTAAGTGTTACGAGACATACTAATCAAATTGAATGTCTGCAACCGCTTGTAGTAATCGGAATGTTGTTGGTAAGTACCAACGGAATTGTTAGATTTTTTATTACTTGGTAAGTACAGTGTAGTACGCTATACTTTTATTTCCGCTACGTTGATAATTTTAAAATTACCAAAATTATTATTGTCGAAATTTTTTGTCGCCCCTTCGAAACAAAGCGCCCTATTAAAAATCATCAAAGGACAAAATATCCTTAGAATAGTCCAAGGAATAGTCCCTTAATTTTTTGTCGCATGTTTAATAAACACCCTGAATACCACGACACGGAATAAATATTCATTGAGATATGGAGCTACAAAAACACATGACATTAAAACGGACAAAACATTTGAAACAGCGTAATACAATTATATTTTTTAATTGAATAACTTGACAAGTATTGTGCATTAGTGTCTATTCATTGTGTTTTATATTTTAGGACGAATACGAACTATCTATTATTATAATAGTAAATGTTACATCCTTCAATGGGTGAAAGACAATTATTTCTGACATTGCATTTTTCAGCACCACCCTCTCCGCTGATAAACAGCCAAGAGATGGTGCTGTCTTCGAACCAGCATCACCCGATGATGATGGGTGGTCACCACGGGCCAGTTCCGCAGGGCAGCCTCGGGATGCACACCCTGTCTCACGCTCAGGGCCATCGCATCTCTCAAGCTCTGGCACAGAATCTCGCCAGGCAGAGCGGGGCTCAGTCGCCCCCGTTACCTCCCCCACCGCCTCCGGAGGACGAGCATGAAGGATTCGGTAGGCCGAGAAATTCAGGTGTGATGCCCATCGTGCCGGATGAGGAAGATTTACCGGGATGGGTCCCAAAGAATTACATCGAAAAAGGTTTGTACGACTTGGAGATTATTTATGAATGTGGGAGTACTTCAAAGATCTGTTGGGCTACCTGTTTTATGTTTACGAAGTTATATCAACTCTTCAGGATTTTTTTTTAACATAATACGAGGGTTGCCTTCTATACAGCTCTATCGTGAAGTTGGACATTTTTGAGCTTTTATGTACTCAGAACGTTTTGACATACGCGTTTTTTGTGTTGTTTACAGTAACTTGAAAGATTCATCTCGGCCCAGAAATGGAAATAAATCGTGAACATTTTCGTGCGATTATTTTTTACAACTTTCGATGTGGATTAACTCAGCAACAGTACATGAATGAACTTAATTCAATTTTTGGCGATGAAGCTCCATCAAGGACCAGTGTTTATCGATGATATGATGAATTCAATTGTGGTCGTAGTTCACTCCAAGACGAACTTTGTGAAGGTCGCCCAAAATCATTTGTTGTTCTGAAAACCATTGATGCTGTGCACGAACTGATATTGCAAGATCGTTATGTGATCTATCATGAGATTGTGATACATTCAATATTGCATAAACATTTGACTGTCATAAAAAATGTGTTCACGTTGGATCCCACACAATTTGTCAATCGCTCAAAAAAAGGCTCATGTTGATAGGTTGAAGGAAATGCTCAAAAAATAAGATCGCGGTGCTTCGAAACACGTCTATGACATCGTGACAGGTGATGAATCGTGGAATTTCGCGTATGAGCCCGAAAGTAAACAGCACTCGACTGTATGGGTGTTTCAAGATGAGCCAAATCCAACAAAAGTTGTTTTTTTGGGAAAAACTGGACATGTCGCAACCATGCCACTAGAACAACGCAGAACAGTTATTTCTGAGTGATACACAACAATTTGTTTGTTAGTTGTCTTCCAAGAAGACAGGAAAACCAACCGCCAAAGGCGAATAACTCTTCACCACGACATTGCGAACTCTCACACATCGGCTCAAACAACTGCATTTTTGAGCACCCAAAACATCGATTTGATGAGTCATCCGCCGTATAGTCCTGACTTGGCACCAAATGACTTCATTTTATTTCCGCACGTAAAGACAAACTGAGAAGTCAACGTTTTTCGACACCTGAAGAAGCGGTTGCTGCATTCAGAGTGCATGTTTTGGAGATACCTCAATCAGAGTGGCAAAAGTGCTTCGACAATTGGTTCAAACGCATGCAAAAGTGTATAGATCTTCATTGGGAATATTTTGAAAAACAATAAAGTGATTTTCGATGATTAATATTTGTTTTTGTTCTCTAATACCAAAATATAAAAGGCAACCCTCGTATGTATATCATGAAAATCTTTGTTTTGCAATTGAAGTCTGTATTTCTTGAGTTTTCTCAACGCGCACTTCAACATTCAATTATCAGTTCACATAGGCTATGAATGAGTGAATATATAGTTAGCTTCACTCTTGTGAACAAAAATCATCATCAGTTAAAAAACCATTCTCATCTGGTAATTTTATTCTACAAAAATTTGAATTCATTTTTTAAACTGTTGGTTTTATATTTTAAATTCAAAATGTTAGGAAAAACCGTTATTTTCTAAATATTTAATAATAACCATAACCAATAACCATATTTTCATTTCTTCCAAACCAGTTGTTGCCATATATGACTACTATGCTGACAAAGACGACGAACTTAGCTTCCAAGAGAGTTCAGTCATTTACGTTTTGAAGAAGAACGATGATGGATGGTGGGAGGGAGTCATGGACGGTATTACGGGACTCTTTCCTGGAAATTATGTGGAACCTTGTGTTTGAAAGGTGAATATATAGGGGTATTTACGGTAGACAGTTTTATATGAATCTTTAGTGTTTACAGAGATAGGAACTCCTTGGATCAATATGTATGTTTTCATATAATGTTCTCATCTAGAGCACAGACTTTAATTCGTCAGAAAAGTGTTTCTAAGAAGTATTCAAGAATTATAAACTTTTGAGTACTCTTCCAAAAATGAAATAAAAATCTGGGTTCTGAGGGATAAGAATACAATATTCCCAAAAATATTTGTAAATTATTCATTTCAAAAAATGTAAAATAAATGGAAGTTACTTGCATGTTTGAAAAAACCTGAACAAACAAAAGGAAAAAAAAAATATAACGTTTTAAAACATATTTTTGTTGTCTCAAATTTGAAAATATTTAAGGTTGTTTCCTATCTTCAACATGGTAGTTTGCATTTAATTTGATTCAAAAATGTATTTACAATTTCAGAAAATATTACTTGGGATAAAGTGAAATATTTCAGAATAACCTACATTGTGCACATGTATATTCTTATATTATTTATACTTCAATTCAAATATAGATCTAGTTTTTGAAGCAGTTCTTTTTCGGCGAACTTGAGACTATTCAACAATACAAAAAGGTTTGAGAAGAGCTGAAAGCAGTTAAAATATGTACCGTTACATCTAGTACATGGGCAATATTTGGTATTTTGTGAATGGACATGAGCTTTTACAATTTCTCATCATAGCTTAGAAAATCCGGACTTTTGGAGATTGTCCCACTTTTCAATTTTAGTCTAGGTCTCGTATAATTTTGTATTTATAATCTATATTTATGTAATTGTGTAAATTATGAAAATTCAATGAAATGTCAATAAACATAAAAATTTAAAAGTGATTTTTCAGTTATGTCCTGTTAGTTTCACCTCAATCAATTGATCTCAATCTGGTTTGTTGAAATATGCCTTTTTATATGATGATCAGTATGGTTTCCATAAAAACAGAGGCAGACAATTGCCTGTTCTTTGGATTTGTGTTTGAGTCTTCTGTCGATCCCATAGATGACATCTGGTTTAATAGTTTGTGAAGAAATAATACATATACAAGATGAAGGTTATTTTTCATTGATGTACCCCAGAAGATTGCATTTGAATGAACTTAAGTGTTGCACTATCCTTGATATGAATGGGTAGATTATTATATTGAATCATTCCTTCGTGAAATAAAGAATTCATGTTTTTTTTTTGTAATTGGTTCTCTTTACATGAAAGTTTGAACTTCCTCTGGTCTGATAATTGTGAATTTGATTATTGAATGTGATAAATTGATTGAAATATGAAGGTAACTGTTCTTTCAACGTTTTATAAATAAAAATCATTGAAAGATAATATAATCGGGTTTTTAATGGATTCCAGTTCAGTACAACTAACATTGTATCAATAGGAGTGGACTTTTTGCATTTGAGAATGATTCGCATTGCTTTATTTTGCAATTTTTGTAATGCAGTGATATTGTTAGAATGTAGTAACGACAGTAAACTTGGACAATATCCAAAGTGAAGTTGGATTATAGTTTTATAGACCGTTATAGTTGTGGAGAAAGATAATTGTTGGCGTATTCGTGAAAGAAAGAATATTTTTTTACTTATTTTGCTATGAACGTAATTAAAATGGCTTTTGAAAGTGATAAAGTTATCTATTTTGAGGCCAAGATATTTTATTTCTTGCACTATTTCAATGTTTTCTCATTATATTGATATATTTATGTTATTTACATCGAGTATTGTTGGATTTTAGAAAATTTGTGTGGCTCGTTCAGAGCAGTAGCCACGACATTTCCTTTTCATTACTTTGTCGACTATTCCTTCATTGTCAAAACTGTAAAAAATGTGTATTACCCCAAAACATGAACCTCCTTTTCAAAAATATATTTTATAAAGTTATGATATACAGTGTCAAAAGCAAATGAAGTTTGCATCTCATGTGACCAAATTTTTAAAGTTCTATTAAAATTTTGTGGGATAACACATATTTGCTTTGATACTACTTGAAAGACAATGTGTTTGGAATAAAGAATTGTCAAAACTTAGAATTTTTCAACAGTGATAGCAGCTGAAATTTTGCATATAAAATGAAAAACTTATTTGAATAACTTTTTTTTTGATATTATGGATATTTTCGTTATTTTAGATTATATTCCAAACAGAAATCAATACCAAAGTCAAATTTTGAATAAAGCCATTATTCGAACAAAAACTAATTTGTTTCAGACTCCACTAGAAGCACTATAGATAAATCAACCTTCAAATTGTAAAAGTACAAATAATCCCATTATCATCACCATTATTGTGACCCCAATCAGCAGATCTCACATAGCATGTTGGGGCTCTACTCTGTTCACATTATTATAGATAGATAGATAGATAATATGTTTGTCTCTTTAGGTTGTTCTTACAACATGAGATATGTCCAAAAAAAAAAGAAAAACAAACGACAAGTACAAACACATTAACAATAGTCAATTTCACACAAAAGTTAAAACATATTGGATGGATACATATTAAAAACAGTACATTTAATGCATACTATATAGATGAAAATGAATCAGCCACACTTTTGAATAAAATCGTCTAAAGTATAAAATGCTCCTTGGAATAAGAACTTTTTCAGTGTATGTTTAAAAGTTTTTATTTTTGTTTCCGATTTTATGCTTTCAGGCAATAAGTTGAATAAATATGCCCCTGCATACAGAGGTGATTTTTTGTGATGTGATGGGATGGATGTAAGTGAAAGTCATTTTTCTTTCTCGTATCGTATCTGTGGTACTCACTGTTTTTGTTTAGTTTTTCTTTATTTAAAAAGGTATACGTCAGTAATTTATACAAATAAATAGATGTGAATGTTAAAATATTGTTATTTGTGAAGGTGTTCCTACACGATTCTCTGTAGTCTAAATCATATATCATTCTGATGAACTTTTTTTGTATTCCAAAGACTCTGGATGTTTCTGTGGACCTTCCCCATACTATGATGTTGCAGCTGATGGTGCTATATACCAGTGCATAATATAAATTAATCAAGTAAGGTCTATGAAAATTTGACTTGAGTGTATAGAAAGCATAATATAGTTTATTTAGTTTTTTGCAAATAGAATCTATTTGGTTGTTAAATGAGAACTTGTAGTCTAGTTCCATACCTAAGTATCGTGCTGACTCTGATGTGTTTATTTCAATATCATCAATATTTATTGTAAGATTGTGTGTTCGCCTGAGGGGACTTGTAAACTCTATGAACACCATTTTGTCTGTATTGTTAATTAGATGATTCACCTCACACCAGTGCGCAAATTCCTCTGTAACCAATTTAATTTTCTTTTGGAATTCAGTAGCGGTGTCAGC